AATCTATAATTTGGTTGGAAATTCAGAGGATCAAATTAATTAATATAAGCATTTAGTTTAAAAAGTAGCATTAGTTGGCTTTGCTATTCTCATTCAGCGAGAAGCATTTTAATATAGAGACCTCTGTGTGGATATAGGGTATGTTTTGGCAATTCTGTTGTTGAACAAAAATTAACACTCTTCAGAAACACTTCATCAGTATCAGAGGTCAGCTTGAAATCTGGCCATTGCATGCTTTAATCTGCAGAGCTTTGAAGATGTGGCTTTTCTGAAGCTAAATGTTTCCTTTTAAAAACAAAGTGTTCTGAGGATGACTAACCTTGACAATATTCCTTTAATAAGAAGCAGACTCACTGCATAAAGGCCACATCACATTATTAAGTATTTCCAGATTCGAAAATATTTCACCAAAAATGTTAATTGCTGACTTTTTAAACCAAAAAAGTATAATAATAATAATAATAATAATAATAATAATAACAACAACAACAACAATAATAAACATCATCATCATCATCATCATCACTGTATATCATTTTGGTATCATAGTTGCCAGCCAGCAACCTGTTCTTATATACAAAGGTATGAGAACTGAAAGGAAGGGGTTATCATAATGAATCCAAAGATGCAAAAAGTGAAAAATGTACCTAAAGCTAATTTTTTATGAAAGCATTTATAGAACTAGTCTTATTTCTGATCTAAGGTAGCAGCAAATAGAAAGTGAAAGATGCTGGGGATGTAGCTGTACAACGTTTGGAAGGCCATCGGTTCCATAATAACATAAGAAGAATCCTACTGGAATAGCCAACAATCTATCTAGTCCAGTATTCTTTATCCCACAATACTCAACCAGATGGATTCAGGAGGCTTGTAAACATGATAAAAAGATTTATACACTGTTGTTCCTTGGCACCTGGTATTCAACACATGCCACTTGTGATTCTGGAGGTAGCAAAAAGATCACCAAGACTGCCAGTAGAACTGCAACATTGTGAGAGGGAAAAATCTGTATCTTCCTTTTCCTGCTGTCTATTATGTATCCCCCTATCCATTTTGTAAGTTAAAAATTACAGATGCTATAGTCTTTCCCAGTGGGTAAGCTGCTCTATCACCCAAATTGTTTGGGTTGCTTTTGGGGGGTGTTCTTTTCAGCTCTACAATATGTAGAGAGGGATACAATATGTACAGTATTGAATACAATATTCAAGTGCAGTGGTTAAAACTATACACATTAATTCCAAATGTGATCTCACCTTAGACATCATAATATTGGCTGCTTCACTGTTAGTTCCCTTTCACTATTTCCAAACATGGAATTTCATGGCAGCTAGACATTGGGCAATTTTCCTTGAGTTATCTAACATGACTCCAACATATTCTGAATAGTTCCTTCTCCCTCTCCCCGACTGCATTTAAAATGTTGATGTTCATTGTTCTACTTTGGAGATATCCTTTTGGGAATCTTCCTTGGAAATCCCCCTTCTTTTTTAAATTTTACTATCTTAAATTGTTTAGTGTAATAATTAAATTTGGACACTTCTCTCCTCACCCTGAATTACATATAGTTTCAAAAACAGTTTTAAAAGCAGCAATCCATTTATGGTTTTCCTTGTGGACTTCAAACATTTCTCCAATTTGAAAATTGTTCATTTTTTTCTACTGTACGTTTCCTATTCTTAGCTAATTTCCAAACTATGAAAACAATTTTCCTTTTATTCCTTTGGATTTCTGAAACTCCAAGTTCACAATATCTCTTGGATCATTCCTCTCTGTATGCTTGTGGATATCCTCAAAAATATATAGATTAGTAAGATAAGATTTACCACTGCAAAAGCCATGTTAGTTTCTTTTCAGCAAGACTCATTCTTCTACTGAATGTGCTTCTCTGTTTTTCTCTTTAATGATACTTTAATGTCTATTCAAATGAACATTAAGCTAGTTGTCCTATAATTTCTTAAATTGCAGTATCTATCTATCATCTACCTAACTTTCTGTGTATCTATCTATCTATCTTTGCATCCATCCATTCCTCCATCCAACATTTTTCAGCTGCCATCTTCATCTACAATAAAACTTCTAGTGACTTTTCCTGGCTATGGAGAATGTAATTGGGATTCCAAGCCTGAGGATTTCTAACAAGAAAGTGAATCTTTTCTCCACCAAGGAAAAAGGCCCTCCTCTTCAGGCTGCATGCAAAAGTTACCACATTTTATTGAGGATGCTGGGACTTGAAAAAGAATAGTGTGTGCCTATTCCTAATAAAGAAAAAGGCTCATGGAAGCATTATTCTCATACATTCTCTTAGAAAATGGTAGCATAACATTCCCCTGTGTTTCTGCAGCGTCAAGTAAAGCTACTGGGAAAACTTAAGCAAGGGAAGAAGAAAGTAGCAGATGCTGTTCATAGGCCCACAGTAGCACAGCCCAATTTGCTCTGCTTAAAGCAAGGGAGCCAATCTGTCTCCCTGATCCTGATGTCAAGCAGTTCATCAGAGATACGTACACTTGAAATAGTCTATGGGTTTCCTGCTGTTATTCTTCCTCCTTTCAACTTTTAAACAGTTCTAAAGTTGTGTGACAGTATTTGGGTTTTCTAGGTCATTTTCTACCCTTTATACATTGATTTGATAGTATTAGATTCATTAATTTACATGTGTAAGATTCTATGCAACAGCAAGATTAAAATCCTTAGTAATTTTCCCGTTTCTCAGCTCCATGAATAGCTGGTCTGAAGCAGTTTTTTCTCATATCAGAAAATATGCTTGTGATGAGAATAACATTTTCAGTCAAAGAGATGATCACCTTTTACTTGTCTCACTGCTTCTCCTTGCTTCAAGGTCAGTCTCCTAAGAAAACATTTTTCCACTACCATATGGATTTCCTGGCTTGGAATTTTGACCCACAATGATGGTGTGACTGAACTCATTCCTCCTAAAATATGCACAGTGATCTTTTTGACCTTATTGACCAATAGAGACTAACATTTCCTTCCTTTATATTTCAAATTAGGGAATTTAACAAATGTATGTACGTATGTATGTATATTCCTAATGCTGAGTGCTTTAATTCATCTATTTTGGCTTTGAGGATTTTAGGAGTTATGTGACAGTCTTTTCCAACACATCTGGAAAAGGCCAGATTGGGAAATGATGATCTACATATTTTATTACGTTCATATATACTTTATTTATATATGTCATAATTATATCCAACTTCTCCTTCAAGGAACTGAGAGTGGCTCTCATTTTATCCTCACAAGAACTCTGTAAGATAAATTGGTCTAATGGATATTGACTGATTCAAGGTTATCCAGTGGCATCATAGCTCATTAGTAATTGTAATCCAGATCTATAGAAAAGCAATTTAAGGAATAGAATCATAATGGGGAAGAAATTGACCTTTTTAATGCAGAAGTCTTTAAGAAGTCTTAAAAATCCGCTTTTTCCTCATCAGGAACAACAATATCATATCACATTTAAGATGTTTTATGCCCAGCATATTTATATATGCTTTTCTTTTAAGAGTTGATGGTGATGTACATAGCAGCAACAACCTTGTACAGTAGCATGGGCTGACAGTGAGTGATTGTCCAAAGTCACCCAGTGAGCCTCTGTAGCTAACAGTGACTTGAAGCTGGGTCTCTCCAATCCTATCCCTAAACCTTAACCACTCCATAAAACTGGCTCTTTATTTGCAGGGATCATATTTCATTTTCAAAAAACCAAAGGTTTGTCATTTTCTCCAGATACCAGGAAGTATTGCATAAAGCTTGTGCAGTGGGACAGGGACTCAAAATTTCATGATACTTGAGATTACAGCAATTTTACCTCCCACTTCCACCCAAAATTTCTCACAATCACATGTAGGCATTCTGAAATCTCTCATTCTTATTTGTGAAAAGTCCAACATCTCATGAAATTTGCACTCTTGCCAACATTCAGCTGTTTTTATTTTTAATTTGGCTTATTAATAGTAGTAGCTGCTAACGACATCTACTGGCAAGATATTATTGAACTCTGATGTAATACAGTGTTAGTGTAGGAGCAAAAGCTATTTTGTAAGATTCTTTGAAAACAATTAAAGAGACAGAAAAAGCAAGGTTGCAAAAAGTATTTGAATTACTAATCTCTTTTTAAAAAAGAAGATAACATCTACTGTTGAGTTTGCTTTAGCAAGCAACTTACTTGCAGTGAAGAGTTAATTTTAGCATTTCCAGTTTCCTGTGTCAGAATGAATGTTAGCAGGCTCCTTTCTCAAATATCTATCAGAGTTATCACCTAAACAATAGTGGTTAACATGTGAAATATCCCTATGCTCCTAAGCAATTAAAATTGATCAATAGCCGCCTAAAACAAAAACACACAACAAACAACAGCAACAATAGAAAGTGTATTAGCTGAAGGAACTGAGAGAAGAAAAACTCCAAGCATAATTTCCACTATGGATTTTCTAAATTGCCAGACACATTAGTAATTTAAAAATATTACAAAAATTAAATCTAATTTCTGGATGGTAGAAATTTTCCTTGGAATATAAACTGTCTTTCAATGCATTCTTTTAGGTTCATTTTCTTCCAGCAGGAATAGCACGTGATTCAAAAAATGCTGCTGCAGTCAGGCTATTTCACTGGACTATATTGTGGACAAGCAGAAAGACTATTTATATTCATTAAAAGTTGGCAAACCCCATATGTCAAACCAGTAGTCCAGACACAAAGACTCCACTTAAAATTGGTTCTGCCATTTGCTGTTTTAAAGGCAGCTCTGGAATGAAATTATCTGTGTAAATCTGAAGGACACGGATATTTAGGAAAGAAGAACATTGATAATTAATCTACTTGCAAGCATCAATGGCGTTTCTTCCTTAAGTTCTTGATATCCCCTAACCCAATTTCTGATATGTATCTCCTAGTAGTACACATCCAATAAAATGCAAATGTGAAACTATATCACTATACTATAATACAAATATATATACAAACACATACATATTTATTCTTACCATTTGAGATTGGCTTCGAGGACAACCATTGATATCTTCAACTTTCTCATTTGCTAAAAGAAAGCAGTAAAGTTTTTTTTAAAAAAAATCTGAGAGTAGGCAACAACACAAGAAAAGAGAAAGCAAATAGGCACACAAGTATTTTGCACACACTGAACTTTGCTCTCAGCACGCTGAAATGTACAATAACAGTCTTTCTTGTTAGCGGCAGTTCCTTCCCTCATGCAAAGGGGAAGTGCAGAGAACGTTGTTGCTAATTCTCCAGCCCCTGCCAAATGACTGCTGACATGAAATCTTCCACAATTGTTTTTGTGGGATCAAGATACAGTTTCAAGTCATCTCAGAAAGTATAAACCACTCCAGTTAATAAAATGCACACATTGGAGACATATGTCTTAATGAAGCATTCATTTTAGTCTGCCAAGTGTGTGAAACACAGTCCTTGGACTATAAAGGGGATGAACCACATACAAATAGATTCAGACAAACTCTTTTCAAAATTTCTGAAAATTTAAAAAATCAGGAAGTTTCTGTTTCTGTAAATGAGTATAGAGAGAGAAATAAAGAGACTGAATCACAGCTGCCTATCTAATGTTCATCTACAGTTAACTTTGTTTTAGTTTTGTTGTATTTTGTATCCTAACCCAGAAGTCAGCTGTCAAATTGTGGCTAAACACATGGGACTTACCAATAATCTGGATGATTTCTGCTAGTAGAACTCCATCTGCAATGTCCTGTTGCAAATCCTTGATCAGCCGCTTGTGGCCAGATTTTGCTAGATAATGATTAGCCCAGTCAGTGTAAATCTGCAGAGTAGAGAGAGGGATAACAGGAAGAGAATGAGAGACAATAAAATTTATAAAGACTTATGCTGGTTTACATGTGAGTAGAGCTCTAAAGCACATTCCAATTTAAGGAGTCAGAAAAAAATAAAACTTGAAAGGTTTTTTTTTTTTTTTTAAATCAGCCTCTGTGCCATTTTCTGCATACTGACCTTGAATGAATCATTTTATTACACAATGAAACATCACTATCATTGTGATCAGGGAAAAAGTCCCTTCAGGACTGCCAAGAAAGTTCTTGTCAAAAATCACTTTCAGTCTGATCTGAGACTTACACTGAAAACCATGTCGATGTGTTTGCTACTAAAGTAACACTGGATGTGATGTTTTTACTTGCTTCATTTTGTTTCTTGTGTGTAATTCTATAAAAGCCACGTGCAAACAGTTCTACCACCATTTTCTAGGAAAACAAACATTTTATACATATCCAATATACATATCACATAACTTGGCCTAGCAACCTACCTACCTATAAGTAACCATTTTTTGACTCACTATTCCTCAGAAAATAAAGTGGAGTAAAGGAAAACAAATAAATCCACTGAACTTGTTAAAAATTAAAACTACATATTGTAAAATTACAAACATGAAAACCATAAAGTAGGAGCATGACAACAAAGACAGAAACATGCTAAATGACACAGCAGCATAAGTTCAGCCAAAAGTCTTGGCAAATAGCTCTTTAGCTGACACCAAAAGCTAACTAAACTTGGTGCCAACTGTAATGGGATTACACCAGCTAGAATTTAGCAGTAAGGCAACCTGGAGAAGTGCCCTGGGAGAGGAGAGAAGTCTTTAAATTAATTGCTTTCTTCCCCCTCAAAATAAACTAGGAAGTCATCAGTACCCACACACTTTATAATCATTGAAAAGATAGCTGGACAGGAAAGTGAGAAATTCTTTTCATTCTCTGAGTTCATGGATTACAGACTAGTGGACACTGCTTAAATGAAATCCAGGCTTAATAAGAAATATACAAATATGTTTTGTAGGTCTATGTACAATTGCCTGTTTAAATAAAATTATGTTCAAGCAATAGGTCAAAGTCAAATCCCAACAATCATGTTTTCCTGAGCATTCAAGCCCCCTTTTTCAAACCAGCAAGATATTTGCATCATATAGCCATCTCCAAATTCCAAAGAACATTAACTTTAGAATGCTTCAACACTCTCCCCACAGCAGTTTTGGAGGACTGATATTAAAAAGTCCCCTATGAGCTGAGGCTGGGCCCCTGCGGAGAAGGGGCTATTGAAACTACAGCAGATGTCCTGTTATACTGTACCTTCTATAAAGATCTAGGATCCTCCTTGTAACTCCTTACTTGGTAAAATATCCAGGAAATTCCAATCGTTTTGATGTGCAGTTATTGTTATCAGATCAGAATGATTTAGTCTCCTTGAACATAGCCAAATTTATGTTATTCTACCTGTAAAATTAGACACACTCTGACTGCCCACCAATAAATCCATTACCAATTGTAGCATTCTCGTCCTGTTTTGTGTTTTTATGCTTATTTTATTTTTAACTGTTTTATTTTGAACTGGTCTGTGACTATAATAAACTCTATCTATCCCCACCCCCATCCCAACAATATAACTAGTCATGCAGAAATATATGATTAGCTTACATAAAAAACTGACTATGTTGGGAGTGGGAATCCAATGCAGTTGATTAAACTTTCCAGTGTTGTCTGCTTAGACAACTCAGCCGTTTTTATGTATCCTACTAATAGCTTGGATGACTTTGCTCTTTCATGGAAAAGAAGCCAATCAGCATAATTGCCATGTATTAATTCTAATAGTCCTGACAATGTGCCTCTCAATACCAGATCCTGGGGTATATGAACAGGAGGGTGCTATTATCTTTCTATCCAACTAGTGGCTTCCCTAATCTGATTTGTCACTGTGGAAAAATAAATAATCTATCTAGGATATACTATTACATATTGATTATGTTCCATCAAGTCAGTGTTGACTCTTAACACAGATATATTTTCTCCATGATAATCTGTCTTCTACCTGGTCCTTCAGATCTTCCAACAGTACACTCATCACCACTGTAATTGAGTCAATCTACCTTGCTGCTAGTTATACATTTTTGTCTTTTCCTAGCATCATACAGTTCTCAGGAGAGTTAGGTCTTCCCAAGTATCCAAAGTATGATAATATGAGCCTGGTCATATGTGCCTCTGGGTTGATTTGTTCAATGCTCCTTTTGATGATTTAGTTGGCTATCCATGGTATTATCAGGAGTCTTTTCCAACACCTAAGTTGAAAAACATTAATAGTCTTTAATTAGTCTAGATATTAAACATTAATATCCTGCTTCCACAAAGTCCAAGTTTTGCTTCCATAGAGTGTCACAGGGAAAATCATTGTCTGCACAGTTCTGATCTTTGTAGGTATAGACACATACTGGCATCTGAATATCTTTTCTAAGACTTTCATTTCTACTCTACCAAGTGCTAGTCTCTGGTATGTTTCTTGACTGATCATTCCTTTACTGTTGATAGTTGATCCTAAAAGGAGAAGCTATTCACCATTTCAATTTTTTCATTGTGAATTCTAAGGCTGGTTACTGTACCTGTTGTCATCAGCTGTGCCTTCTTTATATTTATAGGTTTTGCATGAGAACAATGAAATGTTCTGGGATTATCATTTTCCTAAGAACATTCCACAGCTTGATATGGTCAACATAATTAAAGATCTTTCTATAATCACTGAAGTACATATTGCCTTCTTTTTTGTATTCTTTGGCTTTCTCATTTATCAAGCATGCATCAGTGATAATGTTTCTTGTTCCTGTCTTTTCTTAAGCCAGCTTGAACATCTGGCATCTCTCTTTCCATGTAGTGCTCTAATCTGCATTGGATCATCCTAAGCATTATTTTGCTGGCATGTGAAATTAAGTATATTGTATGATAGTTTGCACATTCTGTTAAGTCTCCTTTCTTTGGTATTGGAATGTAGAGTGACCTTTTCCAATCTGTTGGCCACTGTGTCATTCTCTAGATTTGCTAGGATAGCTTGGTTAGACTTTTTACAGATTCTTCTTCAGTACCTAGCCATATTTTGTCAATATTCTATCAATTCCTGTAGCCTTCTGATTTGGTAATGTTTGGAGTACCAATCTAACTTCATCTTCTGGTACCAAAAGATGCTTGTAAATAGGAAATATCTTGTAAAGTACCATATTTATCGGCGAATAACATGCACTTTTTTCCTTAAAATTTGGGGATGAAATCCTAGCTGCGTGATACTCAAGTGGCAGGGCTGGGAGACTGGAGCCTTCATTTGAGCCAGGGCTGTGACCAGGCAGCTCCGCAGAGCAGGAGGCGAGTGGCAGGCAAGCGAGCGAAAACTGCTGCTCCCCATCGCTTGCACAAGTGAGTGAAAACTGGTGTTTTTCATCACTCGCGTGAGCGAGCAAAAACTGGTACTCCCCATTGCTTGCGTGAGCGAAAACCACAGTCCCACGCCAGTTTTCTCTCACGCAAGCAATGGGAAGCACCAGTTTTCGCTCGCTGGCCTGCCACTCAGAGCTCCTTTTATTTTGTTTCCAAGTCATTTATTTTAAATTTAAGGTTTTTTACTCAAACGTCCTTCTTAAAATTAAGGTGTGTGTTATATGCCTATGCATGTTATATGCTGATAAATACAGTATCTTCGATGCTGACATCTTTACTGTACAGAATTTCAGTTTACTCCTTCCATCTTTGTTTGATCTTCTTGGAATCAGTTACTATATGGCCACTGAGTTACTGTATGGCCATCGGCATCCTTTAGCATGCCACTTCAATGTTGGGACCTCCTTCTGAGTTCAGAGATCTTTCAGATGACTTTCTGTGTTTTTCTTTGTCTTCTATCTTCAATGTCTTTACAGATGTTGTTGTAATACTGCTTCTTGTCTTTTCTAGCAGCACTCTGAAATTCTTTATTAAGTTCCTACCTGAGATTTTTGGTTTTTTTGTCTTTGACTTCTCATCTTGGCAATTAACACTATTGTTCTGACATCTGCTTTTTCTGTTTATTGATCTCTGACAGTCTTTTTTCATATTCATTTTTAAGAACTAATTCTTTAATTCCATTCCATAGTTTCTCTGGTTCCCTTTCAGTGAGGTTCTGTACTTCAAAGTGATTCCTGACATTCTCCTTGAAAATGGTGGGTACATGTTCAACATCTATACCTTGGAAAAGGTTGGCTCTC